TATAGAGTAGTACTTACTATTAATAGTACGAACTAATAGTACCGTACCTTCGTACTAGTAACAATATCTATACTATCTTTTAACTTACCTTACCTCTATACTATATATATATATATATATATATATATGGGGGTCGAGGACATTATGTTGAGCCACATGCCCTCCTAACCACCAATGGCCCGACCCCGTTCCTGACGAAATTCAATAAATTGGAGATAAGATTGCAATTTAGTGTGTTGCACCTCCTTTTCTCACTTTTGTAATGGCTATGCTCCGACATGATTGACTACATGTAACTTACCGCATAGGGCCCAAAAGCCTTACTACACACAGCCAAACTAACAAAACTACAAATACTGAGAGGGCCATATCACATGGCTACTCAACTTCTTCTTTCCAGTAGTTCAGGGTCGAATCCACCAAGTAACCTACCCAAAAGAACCAAATAATGGGGACAATGGTGCCATTGGAGAGGGGAGGGATGGTAATAAATGGATAGCCTCGTTCGCTTGGGATGATAACCAGACTCAACATATGTAGCATTAATCAAAAGTGGATAAGTGAGTCTTTAGATCTAGGAATCAGTATTATAATACACTCTGCAGAATCTTCACTATGTAGACTCAAAGGTAAAAGTATGCCCATTAGACAGTTCATTATTGACTGTAATGTCTGTGATATTTTTATGTCTCTGATATTTTTATGTCGTTGATGTTACCATGTTCAAGATATGTTGAACATTTTTGTTTTTGAATAAAGGTTACATTATATTTTATAACGAGTAGCACAAACAAACGGCTCACAAGATGTGAGTAAAAGAAGCCCACATCCGGTGCTTACAAAAAGAAAACAACGCAAAGAAAAAATAAAAACCAAACACAAAAAGAAAGAAAAAGGGTTCAAAACAGGGAAGGAAGAGAGAGAGAATGAGAGACACACCGAGATGAGAGATGAATAGAGAGAGTAGAGAGTAAAAAGGGGAGGAGGAGGCACGAAGAGAAATGAGAGAGAGAGAGCAGACGGGAGGTGGAAGAGAAGGGGTATGAAAGAGAGAACAAAGAAGAAGTCAAGGTGGAGGGGGATTGAGAGTTCCATCTTTTTGGCAAGCTGGTCAGTCATACTGTTACTTTTGCACCACAGATGTGTTGATAGTTGACTTGTAGAGGCCTGCTGAGGTGCTTCACCTGGTCGACGATGTGAACCAAGTGCCAAGGGGGAACTGCTGAGTTAGAAGCCCTGGCAACTGCATAGTGAGAATCGGCTTCAACCATAAGAGCGTTAGCCCATCTGGGATCAAAACTACTTAAAGCTTCAAGGAACACTGTTGCTTCACCCCAATTAGAGTCCCCATGGCCAATGTGAGAGGAAAAGAGGTGCAATGTGGCCCCATCTGCGTCCCTGGAAATATCACCCACTCCACAGGGACCTGGAGTGCCTAAAGAGCAGCCGTCAATGTTCACTTTGACACTGCCAAAGGGGGGTGTTTGCGTGAGTGTAATAGTCTTGGTGGTCTGGAATTGACAATCAAGAGCCAGTTTTGGTGGAAATCCGAGGAGGAGAGGCCTCTGAGACTTTTGTAGTTGGAGGTCCACAAAATAGTAAGAGCTCTGGCCTTATCAGCCGTTGCAGCAGCTGAATTTCTCCAATACCTGAAGATCCAAAAGTTTCGTTCTTTCCAAATTGACCTATGGTGGTTTGAATGGATGAGCGTCACTACAAGGTCCCAGCTAAGGGCAAGGGCGGAGAAGAGAGGACAGCAAAGAGGCCGGGGATATCTAGTGGGGTCACCCAAAAGTAATTGAAATCACTTAAGTGTTTAGACCACACACTTTGGGAGAAGGGGCCGTGGATAAAAAGGTGAGGGTGAGTTTCCTCATCCTCTTCACATAGGACACATCGATTGGCAAGATTAAAGCCTATTTTCTGAAGTTGATAATGTGTGAGGTTTCTCTGTGAGATGACCAGCCAAGAAAAAGACTGAATTCTAGGATGGGTGTCAACAAGCCATGTTGTATGGTGTATGGAAGGACTGGGTGGCATTTGAGGGGTGATAACAAGGTAGAAGAAGGCAACTGAATGACCAGATAGGTCCATCTGTCCCAATATCTCTAACAAGAAAGTTAGAGAGGTAGCTGAGAAGGTTGAGCAAGAGTTGGAATTCATTCTTGGTGATAGGTCTTCTAAATAGAGGAGTCCAGATTTGTTGGTTTTGGGAGGGCGGAAAGTAGGAAGCCACAATGGCATTAGGGTCCGAAGCAAGTAAAAGTTAAACTTGAAAGCTAGAAAATTAAGTACATAGTTTTATCTTGCAAATTTTAATATTCTCTAGAATCTAGATGGTGGAATCCATTGTGTTGTATTTTAGAACACGTGTAGATTATTATATATATGATGAATTTTAATCATCACTTAATGATTGCCAAAGGATTTAAAATTTGTAAAAGTTTGTAGGTACTAAGCCGTGAATGTATCCATATGTGCAACAGCGCAACTTTGAAAACTGGAAAGCAAGTTAATAAATTAAAGGGAGAAGGAGGTAGTCCCCCCTTTCTTCAATTTATAGTCAACATAGACCGCTGAGTCTATGTAAAACCCGTGAAACCCCTCCCACTTTAAAAAAAGGGACCCACGGCCCCTTTCCCAACTTATATCAAGACTAAATTAATTACATTATTACATACATGTTTATCTCATTTTCAGATATACCAAAGTCATCCAAACACAAAATCTCCCGAAGACCAGCCCAAATTTCACAGATATGGTGGAGTCCTGCACCTCTCTCTCTCTCTCTCTCTCTCTGACTGATATTGTGAAACATTGAAACAACAAGCAGGTGGATAGCGAAAAGAGGCCAGCTATAGGTTACAAGTTCAAAATTTTGGGTTCAGGATGGGAAGATCTACAAAAATAAACTAATATGAAACAGCAAACCACAGAATGATCCTCAAATAAAAGGGAAGAAAATTGTGCTCAATTGGAACCCAAGAATGAAAAAAAACAGCAAGGGTTTCCTTTTGTTTTTGCGGCCCACATTTTTGGAAGGTAATCTTTGATATCAGAAGATGTTATCCAAACCAGACATGGTAGACTGAGAAAACAAGAAAGAAAATAAAATAAATGAGGTTAAAATGAGCAAGAAAATCAATAGAACAAGAAATGCATAACCTACAACACAGTGGCCACGAAGGGGACAGAGTTTTGCTTAAAAGAGAACAAACAAAATGTATGAATTAGAAACTTCGTAAGGGAAGGCTGTTTTCCAGTGAAAATGCAAAGACTCCAGCATGAAGCTGCAGTTGGCTTTGAGAATTTCATGTTCCCTGCAGGTGTCCGCTGTTTTCAGGCAGAGTTTGGGTTGGTTTAGGGAACTTAACTTTTTTGCAATTGGATAGCTTTGGTATTTCTGAAAAGACAATGGATATTAATGCAATTTTGACACATCAAAAAGTTTTTTTTTTCCTTTTTTTTTTGGGGTCCTGGGACTCCAGGGGGGAGGGGTCGTCACGGGGTATAAATTGACCCAAGGGTCTATGCGGACTATAAATTGAAGTGGGAGGGGACTATATACTTTTACATAAATAAATAAAATGAGCCATGACAAAAAAACTAAAAAAGGAAAAGAAATAGCAAAAGAAATTTTCTTTCCATGGTCTTAATGAATTTTTCCTCTCTCAAGATTTTACTCTCACTTTTTCAAAGACTCAGTTAAAGACTTCTTAAGTTGATTCAGGGCTCAATGAATCAGCTTGGGACTGCATTGAGTCTGAGTTGAAAAGTTTCGTCCTCGTAGACTTCCACTTTCCATCTGCTTCAATGTCAATAGTGGAGTTATTACTCTTGGTACCACAAGACCAGTGTTTCAAAAGTGCTAGGCGGGTACTAGGCGATCGGGGGGATCCAGGCGGCCCAGTAGAAATTTTTTTCTTTTTTGGTTCTCCCTCTAAAATAGCCTCTAATGGGTTTTAGGTTTCAAAACCCACAATTTTACCCTTTAGTATTAAAAAAATGACCCAAAAATACCCTCAAGGAAATATCCGCCCCTAGGTGGGGCGAAGGCCCTAGGCAGCCACCTAGGCGGGTTCAGGCGAGCGCCCAAGGATATCCGCCTAGGCGGCAGCCCAGGCGCTGTGTGGTCCGCTTTTTGAACCACTGCACAAAGACAAGACCTACACTAATTGGATAATATCTAGCATTTCAATTTCCTTTCCTAAATAAAGAGCACTAGACATCTCAAATCAGGCTGCCTCTGCTTAATCAAACCACCCTATCCCTAGGCCGCAACCCTCCCCAAACGCCAAACAAGTGACAAGCATAAGACCTTTCAGTTTCGTCCTAACAATCCAAGAATACAAGTGGTTCCCTCAATTCCCTACATTGTTGATCACAAAGTTGATTGCTCTTAAAAAATTTCACATTTCTGGAAAATGATAATGGGTAACCAATCTGACATCAGTTCTTTTGTTTTTAACCTTTTCACAATTAGTTCCTCTCCTTTTTATTTCGGGCGGAAAAGCTGAATTTCAACCGTGGCTGTTAATGCTAAAGACATATGCCCTAATCACTAAACCAAGAGCAAAAAACCAGTGAGCAAGAGATAGGACTCCAGCTCGTGTTTGTTTATCACCCTAGAATTGGCTCCTTAAACCCAACAAGCGACATCTGCAATTAAAACAGAAAATGGGTTGCACCCTCTAGAAAGTAGAAACCCATTTTAAAGTAATATAACCCAAACCATGGTCTAAAAGGGCACTTCAAAAACGAATGGGTTCTGAAAAATGAAATCCCAATTCACAGTATGATATATCAAACCATGGTCCCAAATTCCTTTCCTCCCACTACAACAAAACAATAACAAATACAGAATCTGCAAAGCTAATTCCATTAACTTCCATGTCCAAGTAAATAAACATGATCCTTTCAAAAGAGGAACAAACAAGCTGCATCATCTGTGAAATACACAAAGCAGGGAATGGTATCTGCTAATAAAACCTCTGACCATTTAAGTCCCTGCATATACAATACAGCCCCTAGCACATTGCATCCCAAAGCCTGCAGCTAACATCAACGTCTACTGCCTAGTACTTGATCAAAATGTACATTCTTGTGAGAGAATAAGACTATAGGAGAAGAATAGGTCTTATATAAAAACGACAAAGAAGACAGAGGCACTCATTAGGTAGGGAGCTTCAACAACAGGTCATAGCAGTCAGGATCCCTGACTACCCTAGAATCAATGGCCAAAGGGAGATCAACTGTAAGGAAGTTCCTGATTTAAGGGCTCTACACATGGATTAGTGAGGATCCCCCTACCCACCCATCAACTGGTAGCAGGGTGCATCACCACCATGCTTTCAGATGAGGTATTTTCAACCAGATGCCCATTTAAAGTGATTGAACGCTTAGATTGAAGATCTCCTAGTGATCTATGACGCTTACCTCTATTAATGTTTTCATAATTCAGACATTTTGGGCTTCAAATTTTGGTTGAAAGCATGCTGGAAAAATTAGTGACAAATTTCAGTTCCTTAGGGTGCTTAGTTTCTTTCTTTCCATTATTAAGTCCTTTTTGTATTTGGGTTTTAATTTTTCTTAAGTTACAAGGTTTCTAAAAAGTAAGGTTCCAATACTAGTCAGCTGAAAACCATTGAGTTGGACAGTTTCCAAGAGCCTTTATGTTTTCTTTGCCTTCAAAAGACCAAGTATAGGGTGTGTAGAACTTGGAAATCTCCATAGATACCCATGTAACACATTTGCTAATTCATTTTGAAATTAAGATTGAGGTCTTTCTTTTCATAGTGTGAGGCAATCACTGGAGGAGTGATTCCTACACCTCGAGAAACCAAATTCATTTCGAAGTTGAAATTGAGAATAAAGATTGAGTTCTTTCTTTTGGTGGTGTGAGGCCATTTCATTCACCTCGATGAGGGATTGACAGAGTGATTCTACGACTTTAGTTTAATGTTGGAAGGGTATCTCCAACAAGTTAGAGCCTTTTTCTTTCCCTTACTTGTGACGTTTCCTTTTCCAAATTGCCCTCAACCAAATGTGACACCCTATTTCTAACCCCATCAAATCAACCCTTCCCAAGCCTTAGCAGCATAGTCCATGCTTCTCAAACATGTATGCTATACCTATAAGCTCTCCAATCTAACTTAGCCATAATGTTGCTTCAAGCCCTTCAAAAACATTATCTACACGTAGGCTGTGCCTGAAATTTTTCAACTACTTCAACCCACGTCTAGAACCAGCCCCCAATCATCTCCTACTCATACCAAAACCTACTGAATCATTTTAGCACCAATCCTACTAAATTAGATCACCCATTCCCATATCCTATTCAAATTAGAAGACTTTGACATCCTCAAAACCCTGCTGTCCTAAATTTGTACTACTAAAACTCTTATGACTTCTATTTCTACTTGGAACCCTAATCCAAGCAGGAATCCCAGAGTAACTAGCAAACCCACATGATAAGGCCTCTTATTCCAATTATGATTCCTATCCTAACTAGGACTCCTAATCTAACCCTAACTCAATTCTTCCATCTTCATATAAGCCCTCCAAAAGTTAATACATTCGTGCAGGGTCCAATAACATTGTTCCTTCATGTTTACCATAACAAAGTTTTTTCCAAATTATAGTAGGCACCTTCTTCATCAAAAAAAAAAATTTATTAGCACCTTTAAAAGCATGAACACTCCTAGAATCCACACAGACCAAACCATGATACTCATACAAATTACCAATGCATGTCACCCCCTGGACCTCTTGCCTCTTTTCTTTCCCCCTGATTATCATTGATTCGAATTTTATCCTTGGTATCCCTATTCTAGGCTACCACCATATTGTGAAGAAGAATATTGAGTTTGTTTGCGTCTTTCTAAGCATAATAGATAATATGTTCTCATTCTGAGTTTTCCTCCTGTTTTTAAGGAAGCATTCTTTTGGGTATGCCACCAGATGACATTTGATTTCTCTTAAAAAGCCTCACTAGAACCATTGAGATTATCAAAATAAGTGTTGTTTAGACCGGACCGGGCGCAGGAAATTGGTGAACTAGTGGACAATTCCTATCCAGTTGAACCCCTCCAACAGGAATGTCCACCATACTGGTACTGAATATCAAGTTGAACTCCTGATCAAAAATGTAGAAGGCAAAAAGGCCCTCTTCTTTTTTTTGCCATTTTAACCGTTTTGATGTGTTGTTTGTCAATTACAAATAATAAGGCCATTTTGTTAATTAAAGCATAAGGGTGGTTTTTAAGGTTTCAAAGACACTCTTTAGAGAGGGAAACACTTTGGTAGGTCTCTCTCTAACTCTCACAAACCCAAAAGGCCCCTAGGGCGAACTCCTGTCAAGTTCTCCAGGCATCTACCGCACTCAATCCCCAATTGCAACCCAAGTAAGTCCATTTGATTTTTTTTATTTTTTTTATTTTTGTTAGATTAAATGAAGTAAAGAAAATTTGAATAAATTTTTCTTTTTTAGGGCTATTAGAAATAATTCTTTTCCCCCCAAATAATAACAAGGGAAAATCTAGAATGAGATCATTTACCTTTGGTACAAGGTGGTCACATTAATCTTGACCATTGGATGTAAAATTGGGTGGCTGCAATTATTCCAATGACCAAGCTCAAACTTCAAAAGAAATTTCTCGAACTTTGTGACACATCCAAGCTATCAAATTTCACATCGGATGGCTGTAAGTAATTGTGACCACCTTGTATCAAAGGTAAATGGTCTCATTGTATACAATCCCCAATAACAATTGGCTATTTCTTGCATTCATTCTAAAGGTTTTTTGGCCTAATAGTCACATGCTGTAGGTATTTGCCTTCAATATTCAGTAGTTCATTTTCACTGTTACTGCATGATAGGTTATTGGAGACTTGGGGTGCATCAAATGATATGAATATATGGTGTGATATAACTTCATTTTTTAAGATACTAATTTTCCCATTTTTTTATATTTTTCTGGATTTTTCTATAATCTCCTCTATTTTTTCAACTTCTTTGCACTTCACCCATTTTATTTTCTTTTTCTTTTTTTTTAATGACTGGACTGACCGGTGAACCGGTCATGTCTGCCCTGTCCGACAAGACCCATCCGCTCACCAGTTTGACCCCTAGCCAATCCTAACAATAATAATCAAGACCTCAAAATTATCACTGCCTCCCACATTTGAAAGTCGTAATCAAGAGCTCCCGTTCATATTGAACCATCTGGTCATAATCACTAGATTGGACAGTAAGTCTTTACAACAAGCAAAACTTTCAAATTATTCCCCCAAGTTATGCACTCTAAACACAAATTCGGTGGGGTATTAGAATGTACAAAAATTTAAGTTCCAAGGGGCAAATATGCAGGTAGAGGTGCCCCACATGCTTGTCCCCTGGCCAGAGGTTCCAAGGAAAGAGTCACAGTGATCTAGGTAAATTTGACAACTACAACTTCTATAATGCTAAATGCTGATATGGTAAAGAAAAAGAAATGTGAAGTCTTCACTTGGGTAAAAAACCAGCCATGTCGGTTTAAGACTCAAATTAAGAAATAAAATTAAGCATATAACATCAACTAATTTTATAAATCCTCAAGGATCATGACAATGCAGAAATTAACGCCACCTTTTGTGCTCAAACTCTTCTTGTCCTGTTGTTTGAAATAGAAGCTCCGATGATCAAGTGACTTGTGATAATTCTTAGCATACACTTCAGCCCAAACTTTATTCATATCCGCACGACACCTTGACCACTCATCTTGCTTTTGCTTCAAGCGAGTCAGTATGACAGGTAATGCAACAGCAGCATTCTTGCGAAGTAGGTCCATCACATCCAAACCATGATCACCATATATTCTCTCAATACACCTGATATTTATAGCTGCAAGAGAGAGGAGGAGAGGAGGAGAGCAAGAGAGAGATAAGAAGTGAGAAAACAAATAAAGAGGAAGCACAGAAAGAAGATGGCAATCTTGCCATTGGCTACAAACCAGTCAAGTGATCCTCGATACGAATTTGGCCATCAAGTTTGCTATTACTGTCTTGCATCTTTTCCAATAATTCTTCAACACGCCTCGTTGTTACATTAGTTGATTCTAACAACATGTCCAGCTCAAATCTGACATCATGTAATGAAAATAAACATAATCAAGACACTCGAGCAAGTAAAGCAAAAGCAAGGCACACGTGCAATGGCCCATGCACACACACACACAAAGATAATGAATTCAGAGAAGAAAACAGTAAGGCATATAAAAAAATATCAAGCACTGAAAAAAGAACCAACACTTTGAAGGAAGAAGCTCAAAGTAACTACCATACCTATCATCTTCGCATCTAAAAAGGCTCTCCTCATATTGGTTTTTGCGCATATGTTTGAAAGAGTAATCCTCACTGCCAGATGTCACTGATACCCACACGTCGTTCAAAACTGCTGCAGCCAGCTCTGTCCTCTGGCTAGCAGGAGGTGTTGGATACTGCGAGAAATTTCATAAGATGATTAAAACCAAAGTCTTATATGTTAACACAAAGCAAACAATCAAAATCTTCAAACACAAATGGACTTACATTCTTTGGGAGTAGGCGATAACTAGGAGTACAACGATCACAATTTGAGAGGTCAAGCTCTGAAATAGGCTTATTCATGTATTTGTCTTTACTCGGATTCAAGGAGACCTTGTGGCTAGTTACATCTCTGGGAACAAATGGGACATTTTTCTCAAGCCTATCTCTTTCTTTTCTTTCCCTATCTTTATCTTTATCCCTTTCGTCTCGTTCACGCTCCTGATCTTTTTCCCGGTCCTTTTCCACCTTGGGCTTAGCCACTTGACCTTCAGTCCATAAGGATTCTGAATTCAATTTGAAGGAACAAAATCAACTCAGGTGTGACCATCATATTTGTAACAATTTGCAAGGCAATTCTACATTCGGTTGAGAATTCACAAATGCAGATATGTTGCAGATAAAAAAGAAGAAACTAAATCAACCCTCAAAATGGCTTGAAGCCAAGTTCCTGATATCTTGTACCATGAGAGTGAAATAAAACAAAATTAATCCACAAACTTACTTTTGTTAATAACACCAGCCAGATAGCCATCTGCATGAATAATTCTCCAAAAGCTCAGATGAACAGTTGAAAAGAAAGTGAAATAGTTAAAGAGCATAAGAATCAACAGAATAGAATTGGCACATTACCGATATTCTCACACTGTGACAAAAATTCATTAAACCCCTCCATAAGATCCGGATACTTTCCAAGTATATCCGCCACCTGAAAAGGAAAACATATAACACTTTTTATACGTTTTACTACTTTAAGAGTAATGCCAATTGTAATAATGAATTGAGCACGAAATTCAGTCACCAACTAATTGATAATTTGCTGAAATATAGAGAACCCCTGCAAGACAGTAAGAAGTAAATGAGAAGAAGGCTTACCAAATTTTGCAATTCTGAGCGACTAATAATTTCTTTGCTATAGATATGCAGGCACTTCAAAAACTCCTGGTAAGTGTCACCATCATGCAACCTCTCCTTGACTTTTTCAATAAAGGGGAATTCTTGTGTATACACACCTACGACAAGAATTATAGAGTTAACGTTACAAACATATATATGTGAATAAGTAGAGCTCGATGGATGTAGTTCTGTTTAAACATCGATGCAATTCTATAACTGTGAGATATAAATTTAAATATAGAAACTAATAGCTTCTGTGCAATAAAACACATTTAAAAAAATGGCAATAGATGAAAAGCAAGCATAGAGACATCATATGATCATTTTTAAGCACGCTGGAGGTTGTTTCAACACGTCTGTCGTGTCATGACAATTAGAGCAATTTTGGGTGACTTAATCGCTTTCAAATATCAAAATGCTCTAGTCATATAAAGAGATATAACTGTTGAATACTTGTTCATAAAACAACCAGTATCAAACTGATAATTCTTTAGAAGACTGGGGACCTGCATCTTCCTATAACAAATCAGTATCAAACTATCCCCAAGCCTTTCAATACCTATACCATGGATCAAAAATGCTCAGAGAGAAGTCATGAAAAAGCTCTCCGACATACTATGTACTCCAATAAACTCATTAAATTACCAACTTTGAGAACCTGGCAGTAATAAAATCACAAGAACCTCGGAAACCTATAATAATCCATGGCCAAACTTGCTAGGAACAATATAAGAATGTAAAAAACTACCTACAAAGTTGGAAGGCTCTTACAAAATAGCATGGGATAGCAGAATCAGCAATTCAAGACTTCAAATTTTTACCACTCTCCTAGAATATTTTCCAAAACTATAATTGGTGAAACTTTGATCATCATTTCACTAGGCCATGCAAAATCTAAATTTACATTGGCATTCTCAGATATCCATAAGACCATAACCAAACAACATATACTCAGATAAAAGTCTGGAATGTACAATCATTAAGATTTATGACACAAAAGCATGAAAAACCATGCATTAGCAAAAGCTCAAGGAAGAAATTTCATACAAACCCATTGCCAACCAAATCTCATATATTATTAACTCCCAACAATATTCAGTATCCAAAAAAACCAGATGAAAGCATAATGGTATAAAAAGAACTACTCACCCTTCAACACATTTTTTTCTTCAAAGGAAGAAGCTGCTCCTGTGGATTGAGCTCCAAAACTTTCGACCCCCTCACCAGCTTGGGACTGCTTGCGAATGAGCTCATCCGCAACCCTAGCAGACTTGCGCTTGTGACGCTGCATATTATCCAAATCCCTGTCCCTCTCCCTTTCCCGGTCATGCTCTGAATCTTTATCATCCTTATCACCACGCTCTCTCCTATCCTTCTTCTCCTTGTCAACCCGCTTCTTTTGCTCCTTGTCAACTTTGCCAGAAGATTTGTCATGTTCAGGATCGGGACAGTCAACACTGAGATCACGGTCCATGTGGACTCCTCTATCCCTCTACCACGCCACCACACATTACAAAAAATAAGCCTTTCATTTTACTTAAGTTGGTGGGTAAGACCTGGTTAAACGATCCAAGAAAGAGCACCCACCATAGAAATAAAGGAACTAATGTATCCCTCAGAATGCCTCAACAAAGAATTCATACTATGTTCAAACTTTTAGTGCTTAAATTTTATTTTCCTTTTTCTGCTTAACTTCCAGCATTAAGCCGATATTTAAACTGGTTTAGAACCCAAAAGAAGCACAATCTAAGAAAAGGACAAAAAAAAAGTATTACCCACCAAGGAGGATCACTTCAGGAGAATTGAAATTTACCTTCTCTCCATGAGATTGCCTTATGACAGGCATCCCAAGGCTCTTGTCCTCCCTACGCAAAACATTGATGGATGAGTTTCGAGCAGAGGATGCATGTTGAGTATTAGCCATGGCTTGCGAATCAGGAAGGAAATGAGTGAACTCCTCAAGTAAATCTTGGTGATCATGAAATAAAAGAGCCACCTGCAAATTTGAAGAAAAATAACCCAAATTCATTCAATAAGTGAAAAACCTAAAGCAGCTATTCATCATGAACATAGAGTGCTGATACAAAAACTATTACTAAGAAGAACATAAAATCAAATATTGCATGATGAATTTAAATATACCTCCTGGTAAACCTCATTGATTGACTTGTTCCTTTTCCGGTACAGATTCAAAATCTCCAAAAAAGATTTGTAAACTTGCTCATCATATTGGAAACGAGTCTAGAAACAAGAATCAAATTAAAATCCCTCAGAAAATTATGAAAAAACCAAAACACTTTCAAGAACAAACAGGAAAAGCATTCATCATATTGGAAACCAAATATTATCAAAAGTTAAAATATTGCCTCACCTTTATCTTGTTTACATAGTTGAAAACGTTCAAATATTGCCTCACCTTTATCTTGTTTACATAGTTGATTGCTTCGTCAAATTCTACGGGTTTCTTTGGAGGAGGCTCATCCTCGAGTGGAAGAGTAATCTCATAACCCTTAGGCAAGAAAGTATTAAAACCTAAAATGAGGTTGCGGTGACCCTTGAACAATTCCTTCACCCTAGTTATAACACCTGCTGTGTCGATCCTGTAATGACCACACAAACAAATCATCTTCATCTCTCTAATATTGCAAAATCTCTATCAAATAAAAAAAATTATAAAGATCATCATTGAACATAAATTAAAAGAAAAAATCAACGCACAAGAGTATGAACTGCTAAGAGATAGGATGGTAGAGAAAACATAGGGAATTATCAGAAACGAGAAAAGGAAGGCAGCTGTCAAATCCAATAAATTATACATTGCAGCCTTGAACTGCTTCATGACTTCCAGAAATTCATCATATTTTTCCTTCTTATCCAGAAACATATCTTTCACAGCCTTCAGATAGGCGAGTGCATCGTTTGTCGTAAGCTTCTGAGTGCCAACAGATTGTTGTTGGGGTTGTCCAGACCTAGCACCCAAACAAGGATAACCAGAAGTTAACATCCAAGCAAAGAGAGAGAGAGAGAGAATGCAGCCCAATTTTCAAATAATATACCTAAACAATACTGTCTAAAATCATATCCACCATGCTAATAGAACCAAGAGGTGAGATGGGTCGGTCAGATTGCACAAAAACAATAAAAATAAAAATAAAAAGGTGCATAGACAATGCTGATAATGAAAAGAAAACAATCCAGAAACCCACGGATTGAGTCATGGAAATTAGAAACAAAACCATCCCTGATCAACAAAGAGCCCTAGGACTTCTATTTGAATTGCATATGCATAAGAAACAATCTGAACTGATGAAGCCCCAATGTGTTACAAGAACTACTGAGCATAATGATCAGAAAAATTTAAATTGGGAACCCAGAGAAAGAGAGGGAGGAGAAACTCTGAAAAGCAAAAATGGGAAGAGGGATTTACAAAAAAGTAGGAGACTTACGGTTCCCCACGAGCAGGGCCATTGGAACGCCTGGGTTGAGAACCCATGTAACCATCTTCTCGAGAACGCTTCATCCTTCCGATCCTTCACCACTATATGCAATCAAAACTGCAGAATCCCTCTCTCTCTCTATCTAACCCCAATCTTCTACAACCAAGCTAACCCCAAAGCTCGAGAGATTTCCCAGGCTTTGGGGTCGAGATTCTAACCATAAAAGACCAGTCCCTAACCAGATCTACCCAAAACAACAAACCAAAAAGACCCAAGCAATTCGCTTCAACCCCAATTCCTCTCTGCAACCAATATCCCCAACAACACAATAATCGCGAAAAACAAAGGGACCCGAGAAACCAGACCCCCGAACAAAATCTCTCCAACTTCTTAGATGTGAGAGAAAAAGAATGTATAGAGAGAGAGAACAGGAAACAATGAAAAAAATAATGAAGAAACATTAGAGAGGGAAGTGAGAAGAGAGGATAATGAAACGATCCATGGTTAAGAAGCACTGAACAGAGATGAAGCCGAGAAGGAGGGAAAGAGTTAGAGAGAGAAAGAGAGTGGGAAGAGGTTTTAGAGAGAGAAAGTGGGAATGAAGAAATGGGTTCGCGGTTTCCTTTGCAGAGCAGGACTAAAAAGAAACCGCAGGGGAGTTGGTTTCATACTAAATGCAAAATCAAATATTATTACCCTTAAATATGGAGTTCAGTGCAGATTAAATGCAAAATCAAAAAATATTACCCTTAATCTCTCTCCCCCTCGCTCGAACTAATCCTTCTCTCCCTCGAACTAATGGGACAGGTTTCTATCCTTCCCCATGAAGCATAAAAGGTGTATCCTCCCCTTATCATCTAGCCGTCCAATTTTGTTCAAGAGAGTCGCTCACTGTTTGATCTTAATCTATGACGTCTCAAAATATGTTATTTTGAAGGTCTATCCTCCCCTTACCATCTAGCCGTTCAATTTTGTTCAAGAGAGCCGCCTATTGTTTGTTCCAGTGGTTTAAAAAACGGATCGATGTCCCGGATCGGGCATCCCAAAAACTGATCCGCATCGGTGAATTGACGATTCGGATCGAGAATCGGGCCGAATTGTTCTGAATAAGCCTCAAAAAATTCAAAAAAATTATTAAAATTTATTATAAATGTTGTTTTTTATGAATCCAATAAGAAATGAGAGTACTACATTATTAACTTTCATTGTTTTTCTCAATTTATGAATATTAAGATGTTTTTTCCCTGTATGAACTTACGTTGACCATTAAATTTACATCACACAAATAAAATCATATAATTATCGTGGATTAACTATATAATCATATATGGAGTACAATAAAGACTTGACTAAATCGATGAAAAATTGGCCACTAAAATCTCGAATTGGGGGAAAACCCCAATCCGCTAAAAAAACCCAAATTATTACAACCTAACTAATTATAATATTATATACCAACAATATTTTATAATTATTTTATCATATAAATAATAATAAATCCAAAATATTTTATAATATCATCTAATTTAAAATGTATTATTGACAACTGTAAGAAAAATAGTACACTACATGATTTATAATACAAAAATTAATAAATAAAATAAAAGATTTGGTTATCAATATAGAAATTATTAAAACGCGTATCAATTTTCTTTAATTTTTTAAGTTTCTATAATAAATTAGTGGAAGAGATTGTTAGTAGAAAAAGAGAGATTTCAAATGGCCTCATTGTATGAATCTTATCTTTAAATTAATATTACTAAATTTATGCTAAAGACCATCATGTTATAAAAATAAAAAATATAATTAGACCATTTATTCCTAGGTTGTATGAATAAATACCTTTTATTTTTTTTACAAGAAATACTTATTGTGTTATCTTTTATTATTTTTTTACAAGAAAAATATGATACTTGTTGATTATCTTTGTTTTTTTTTTTTGACAAAAAAGAAGATGTTGTACTACATTTTTGTTTGTTTGTTGTATTACTTTTTATTTTTTTTACAAGAAAAATAAATAAATGATGTTGCCAAAGTACATTTTATTTTTTTATGCCTTTTGTTTTCTTTTTTTTTGCAAGAAATACTTGTTATATTACCTTGTATTTTTTTTACAAGAAAAATAAAAAAATGTTGTATTATCTTTTTTATCTTTATCTTGAAAAGCTTTTTATTTTATATTTTTTCTATTTTTTTACAACAGTAGTTTATGCATTTGTTTATTTTTTTGACAACAAATTGTATTGTTTTTAGAAGAAAAATAAAAAAATATTGTATTATCTTTTGAATATTTATCTTGAAAAGTCTTTTATTTTATATTTTTTCTATTTTTTTACAACAGTATTTTCTGCCTTTGTTTGTTTTTTTTTACAACAAATTTTTTTTTGTATTTTTTTGTTGTGCGCTAAGGGGTTCGAACTCAAAAAAAAAAAAAAAATGGTTGTTTTAACAGTATTTTTGTCATTTTATTTCATTGAAAATATTTTTTTTATAATTTTTGCTAGTGCGAGTTTAATAGAAAAATAGACATTCAAAATTTGGTGTTTAAATAGTTTATAGAAAAAAAATTAAAAATAAAATAGTGTAGAGACCGGACATTGTGATTGGAGCAATCTTAACCATCCATTCAAAATGGACGGTTGGATAAGGAGGAGGATAGATCTTCTATACATTACGGAAAATATAAAAAGCTTGCTTCTAACTAATCCCCCCCTCTTTGTAACACGAATTTTATGGTGTACTAAACCTGATTATTAAAAACGTTAGTTGATTTATACGATAGTGAGAATCCCCGTTCATTTTAACAATTGATGGATTGAGATGAATTCAGCACTGCTCGAAAGGAAGGTATACTATATTACTTGTAGTATAGTGCACTTCCCCTCGTGGTGATTACACCGTTGGAATTTGGACGCTGGTTCGAGGGCCTAATAAATTCAAACACCTATACTATGCTTTTGCAGTACCAATATTGTTTATCTACTCTTAGTCAAAAGCAGCTTGGGAGTTTTTTTTTTTTTTTTCGATCTGAAATTTAGAAACCACCTGAAAATCATTAGACAATTATTTTCAAAATATAAAAAAAAAATTGATTTTTTGATATTTAGATCTTATCCTTCATGGTTTCTATTAATCTAGGGGCGTTATCTATAAATTTCTAAGATATATAAAGTTCAATTTAAAAAAAAAATTACAAAGTAGGTACAAGATTACATTTACTCTTTTGTGTTGAAATTTAAATCAGGTGGTTGTAAGTGTATCATTTACTACATTTAAAATGCAAATATAAATTTCTCAAACTTCATAACCCAACATAAGCTGTCCAATTTGAAATCGGATGGCTAAAGGTATTTGTGACCTCGTAAATGATTTTGTAATATACAATCCCCTCTTTCTTTCTTCTTTTTTTTTTTTTTTTGAGGTTATTCATCCCGAAAATTTGAGGTACTAAAATTACACCTACGTCGGGTTTTGCCCGAGGACATAAATAGACAATATACTCCTGCACGAGAGTATAAAATCTTCTCAGGTAGAATTCTCCATCTCCCAAATGAAGCCTAGGCTTTACGGAAACAATTAAAGCTTTATCTCAAATAGTTGTTCAAAAAGCACTTTCGGCAACGGAAATCGGCCACTAAAACATTTTCAATATTAACAATAAAATTAAAATTTAAAAAATGGTACTGATCTTGTAGATATATATATATATATATATATATATATATATATATATATAACTACTTATTTTTAGAGCAAAATAAAAGGCCTAGATAATTTGTTACAATATTCATTATATTTAGATCTTGAAATCTTAATTTTATTTCACAACAATAATGGTCAAGTTCAGATGATTGCTATAAAAATTTTCAAATGCTTGAAATGTAACAAGTCATGAGATAAAACTTTACTCACTTTGTGGCTTGCTTTACAAGTTGCCGATGAAATAGCAACAAAACTATTAGATGAGATGACTTCGAAAAAAAATTTAGGAGGGTATAATATCCGGATTTACAAGAAGCAAAATGCGTTATTTCCTAACCCAAAAATTGGAATCTAGGGTATCAAGAACATCTCTCTATCAAAAATTTGAAATTTAGGATGTCAAGGACCCCACTCTTTCTCTCTAGAACCCCACAATCTTTATTTTCTTCGATCTCTTTTCTTCAAAACGGCTTTCGTGGGATCTTGATAATGGCACCGAGGTTTTGCATTTCCTTTTGGATACAGATTTGAAAAATAAGCTGAGAGATTGAATGGTAAATCTATAAATTTAAAAAGATCCATAAATATCGGACTCCAATTTGCATTATAAATCAATTGGAAATGACTTTGTGAGACCCTCTCATACTCATGTGTGTAGGATCTGAAAGGATATCATTAAATTTGACACAAATCTCTAAAAAAAGTCAAGTTTCACACCCATATGATAATTTTTCTAAAGATCTATACCAAATTTAATGGTGATTATTTTAGGTCCTATACACATGGGTGTGGGAGAGTCTTATAGGATCATTACTCTAAATTAATACCCTAATTTTAACCTAAAAATTATATTCGTTTTTTACCCTAATTTTTATCGTAAATCAATAACCCCAATTTTAATTGGAATCATGAACTTTAAGCTTCGATTTAGGGTTTGATTGATTGTAATATATATCACTATAGACCCTAATAATCGATATTCCCAAATAATGTAAATCCTAAATCTATCAATTGTGAATCAACTTAGAATAAACCTTTAATTTAAATCCTACTAATTATAAAGGGGAAAAGTTTTTATAGAGCCTAGGCTCTAAACAATCAAATTAGAGCCTATTTCAAAACATTCATTAGACTAGGTATTTTTTATGCCCGAATATCATCAAATTGATAATCTTGATATCAAGATGCATGGACATGAGAAACAAATGAATTTCAAGTTTTGGAAATAAGGCATCTTGTAACACATTTTTCGACTGTCAATTTTTAAGATTTTAAAGTTTTCATAGATCTGATCCATCTATACTATTTTGTAAGCTTTAAATTTTATAACTAAAGATGAAAATATAATTTAATGCTATCACAAAACTTTCTGGCATTAAAACCATATTTCTCGACACTATTTGAAGGTGGGCTCAAAATTATTTGTTGAGAACCTCAACTCTATACAAACAGCACCCAATTATAAAACCTAAATCCTAAATATTTAAATGATCTATTTGAAGACAATCTATTTCCTATTCCCTTAAATGAAAACTCTAAGCTTTTCATGTATTTTATTTATTTTTATTTTGTAACTTATTTGCATTATTATTCATTGAATTCTTGAACATTTACGATTGGGTGCGGTTTGCATAGAGCCTAGGCTCTAAACAATTAAATTAGAGCGTACCTTCAAATAGTGTCGAGAAATATGATTTCAACGATGAAAAGCTTTGTGATAGCCTTAAAATATATTTTCATCTTTGTTTATAAAGTTTAAAGTTTCAAAAATAATGTAGATTGACATATCTATGAAGACTTGCAATTCTTGAAAATTAACGGTCTAAAAATGCATTACAAAATACACTATTTCCAAACCTTGAAATCCATTTTTTTCTCTTGACCATGCATCTTGATGTCGAGATTATCAATTTAATATTTGGGCATCAAAACAATCTCTTCTAGTGAAATTTTTGATATAGGCTCTAATTT